GATGAGCGTTTTTGCTGCACCATTGCTAGCATTTGTTTGGCATGCATATACCCGATGATTGTTCGAAGTTGCCGAGTTTGCGCGCCCACCAGTTTATCCATCGATTCCCCTGTATTTGGTATTCTGCTGTCGAGCTGTTTCGCTCTCCTCTCAAATTGTCTGAATTATTGATTCCGCATTTTTAATTGTTCATTCTTTTTGTCAGATTGGTAGTAGTTCTGTTGCAGTTTTCTGCCAGTATGTAATGATGTGCATGATGATATGATATAATGATATGATTATAGAAATACTTTGAGAATTTTTAACTAGTAGACGTGTAGGACCTGTCCTAGTCCTTAACTTAGCCTATAAAGGTTGGTTGTTGCTCTCGTGTCTGTATGCTGAGAGCTACTCCATCGTAGGAATCTCCAATAACCACCCCTTTGAATTATCCCCCTAGCGCCCTAATTTACGTTGAAAAACAGTAGACTCTCGAGAAAGAACCTCGTTTTACCTTAAAAACACCACTCTCACATGCCCAATATTAGACCACCTACACATGAAGGAAATCAAGATCAAGCAGACGTTGTACTTTCTCCTTCCCCGAACCCTATGATCTATAGACATCATCCAGATACAAAATATGATTCTTGCGACCTCTGAGTATTCAACTACAAGCCCAGTCTCTAATATAAGCTCCTATATAAACAGACACATCCATCTCCCTTAGCCCATTCCTCCAGCACATCTCACCCCTCACCCCTCACCCCTCACACCACCCCAAACCTATAACCCTACAGAGCACATAGTAGAAACAAAGATTCACACGGATTCACCACCTCCTCATCCCTCCCAGCCACTCTCTCCCAAACTCACCAGCTATATCAAGCATACTCAACTCAATCCCAAGTCCAGAGCTCATTCACTGCCCCCTATCAACCACCCATATCCCCCCAAACCCACAGCAGTAGAAACAAGTAACACCAGCGCTCACATAGCATGCAAACATGCATACAGACAAAACACATCTGCATACATCTACTAGAGAATGTTGTTTACCGACTACTCGTTTTCCTCATCTCGTATCATTCATCCATCTTCGTGTTGTACTGCATTCTGTCGCGTCTCGTTTCGATTTTCATCTTCACGATACGCCATCATCACGAATCGAGATACTGGGATAGAACTTACTACCACTACTAACGTTACGCTGTGCTTTGCTTTGCTTAGTCGTCGATACGCACGCACATCGCATCATTCAAGATCCCCCCTTTGCTCATAGCTTAGTCGTCAATGCGTCCTGCTGTGATTTACCGTGCCACGTTCCTTTTGATCCTTTTTCGTTCCGCTCAGCTCTGGCAGCGTCTGCGTGAACGGGCGAACGAGAAGTTTAGGGATAAGGAAGGGAAGGAGCCCAATCTTTGAGTTTGAGTTGAATTGGTTTGGTTGGGAAAGGTAGAGTATTATCTTCTTCTTCTTCTTGTGATTCAGAAATCATGCTAGGATTGAGGAGTCAGACTGCTCACTCATGCTAGATACAGAGCCCGGTTCCATCCATTGATCAGACTTGATTAAGCTGGTGAGTTGTTCATCTATCCTAGGGAACTTGAATCAATAAAGAAGGAAATAAAGAGAGAAGGAAGTAAAAAGACACAGCTAACCATACTTAGCATACTGCTTCTTCATCATGTCGGTCAATGAGGGAAATGCGTGGGCTCTGCGACGGGCCAAGGAGAGAGAACAGATGAGATTGAGCGGTGATACCGAGCAGGGTAGTCTTTCCTCGATGAAAAGTGGTATGTGTGCTTCTTCTTTTCTTCATCTCATACTGCAGGTAAAAGAAGGGAATAGAGAAAGAAAGCTAACATAAAGAAACAGTCAAAACGATCTCGCCAGAACTCGGCAAGTTGGACTTCGACTCCGACCTTGCTCTACCAATGCCAAATCCTCGAACTGCTCGAGCCAACTCGATCGTAAACGACACTCCCCCTAGCTTGCCTACCAGTGGAAGCGGGAGTGGAAGTCTCTGGAGCAGAAGCATTCCTAAGAAACGCTCGTTCACTGAACCGGGTCGTTTGGCAGCGGCGGCAGCATCAACATCAGCGACTGGTGAGAAAAAGTCGGAGAAGAAATCAACCTTCAAGGCTCTCAAGGCCAAGCTCAGTTTCAAGGATCTAAAGAAGGAGTTTCGCAAGGAGGTCCCACCGGCAAGTACGATGCCGAAAATCACTATCCTCCGGGACGATTCTTCTTCTTTAGATTCTTTCGCTGCAAAGGGGAACAATTTCGAAGTCGAGAGGCTGTACACTCCCAGACCTAGGGTTATGGAGGTGGGTTCGGGGTCATCGTCGCTATCACGAAAGTCAAGTGTGATACGGTTGGATGATTGTTTGAAGGATTTCGATAAGGCGTCGGATTCTTCTGTGCGTACGCCCATGAAGGATGGTGGTGGTGGTGAAGGCGCTAGATTCAAACACTCGCTCATCCACAGCAATGAAGCGGAAGAGGGACATACTTCGACTCTGCTCGATGCCGTTCTCCTGAGCGGATCGTCACCAGCTGCCCGTACAGGAGAGCTCAGAAATAGCAGACTGCCAGAGGTCGTCAGTACACCTCAACGCGCATGCAGTTATGCAGCTGAGCCAGCGTCTCCCAAGAGTGCGCCATCCACGGTCCGCGAGAGCGAAGCTGCACGCACGTACTCCCCATCGGTGTATGAGACGATCTTGTCTGATAGAACGTCCGATCTGCCACGTCGCGATCACGGGGTGACCAGCATAGAGGAAGTCATTTCGCTCACGCCAACCCGGGACAGTGATTCGTCCGTCAAGAAAGGTTCCGACACCCGTCTGTCGGCATTGACGTCTCCTGCGTCGACGTTCCTCGCCGGTCCTGATGGCTCGTCTAGCGAATACGTTACCACTCAGGTCCCCGTCGATAGAGCGCAGCTTCTGGGTTCCACTGGTCGGGGTGGCTTCGCCCCTACGCCGCCAGACCCAAGTTATCAAAACACGGCAGCGCTGGAGGAGCAACTTGCTTCGCACGTAGAGCAGCTCCATTTCCACGTGCAGCATGCGGCCAGTAAACTCGTCAAGACGTTCGAGGACAAAAACGCCTGGCACATGGACCAAGTTCTTCGCCATGTGGACACAATGGTTGACCTAGCTCAGGCCATCAACAAGAAAGCGGCTGCTCAGACTGAGCTACTGAAGGAGGCGCAGACGGCCGTTGCGGATGTCAGGGCTCATATCGACACGCTGCGACGCGAAGTGCGCGTCATCAAGTCGAAAATCATCACTGCCATCCACGAGGAAATTGGCAAGCTCAGGTACGACCTCCAAGAGGAGGGTACGCTTGGCCCTGGCAACCCAGCTTCTGAGGGCATCTTGACCCCCAGTGCTGGGCTGCAGGGCCCGTCGATTCCTTTGATGGTGAACCGAGACTTGAGCGCGCAGGATGATGGGAGGGACAAGTTGCTGCCAAGAAAGGAAGATGGGAAGTATGGTGAGAAGAAGAAGAAGACGAAGAACGAGCAAGAGGAAAATAAAGAAAGAAAACAAGCAGCCCCGTCGAGCGTGTTACGCAGTGCCAATCTTGTGAATAGCTCGTCCTCCGCTTACCTGAGCGTCAGAGACCCTCAGCACCAAATCACTGAAAAGCGAGTTGCCTGGAAAGATGACTTTGAAGACGCTTCAGGATCCCCCACTCCCAAAGCATCTACTTTCCTCGATCTGCCAGACCTGCTCGTGCCAGCAATCGAACAAGCCGAAGCCTTACTCACATCTGCTGCACAGCCCAAGATGGACAAACCTGCACCCAAACGCAGCTTCTTCAACCTACTTCGTCACCGTGACAGTGATAGTAACGCCAGCCGCACGCAGGAGAACAAACCTCAACCTGTTGACAACAACAAGGCACAGGACAAACTTACCACCCCCAATCCCAGCAACGATCCAAGCCTGGACCCCAGCACCATCCATCCAGTCCTACGCACCCCCGAGCAAAGCAAAATCCTCGCCGAGCGCGACCTCGAACGCATCCGTCTCGAAAAGCACCAGCTGGCCATGCTGACAACTCCAAGTCCCACCCCTGCTCGACGTCCCGGCGTGCTCAAGCTATCGAAATCTCACTCTTCAATCGGTGGTGGTGGCACTTCGACCCCTGAGAGTACCTCCTCCTCACCTCCTACTTTGCACGGCTGGCCTCTCCCAGACGTTTACAAGAATAGGCTGCCTGCTGTGCCATCTCGCAGCTTGAACTCAACTCCCCAGCAGCAGCAGCAGCAGCAGCAGCAGGGCTTCGATAACCCGTACCCGATTTTCAGACACCCTGTTCCTGCCTCGGCTGCGTCTGTTTCAATTGGTTCTACTACTACTGATACTACTCCTGTCGGGTTCTCGCCTTCGCAGGGTGGTAGTGGTAGTCGTACTGGTGGTCCTCCTCCCAGACCTCGCCGTCCGCCTCCGCTTCCGCTTGAGCTGATTTCCTCCAATACTACTACTACTACTGTTAGTATTGGACGGAAGAGAGAGGGGTCTGGTAGACATCGGAGTGGGACGTTGGAGAGGGTCGACGAGTAGAGTTGAACAAGTGATGGGTTGGTGACGAAAGTATGATTGATGATAGTGGAATGGCTGGCTGAATGGCTGAACTGTCAGTCAAGTCTCAGTCAATTACTACTTTGTTTTCTTTTCCTTATGAGGTGGACGAGGTCATGACTTTATGATTTATTGAGGTTTATCATGACGAGCGATGGTATGCTTCTTTTTTGCTTTGTCGTTGACAGCTGATTGAGTGGGCATTATGAGATAATTGACGGGATTGAGGTGAGGTGTCAATGGTGTTTTAGGGGCATATTTCTGAATTCGGAGTTGGAGGAAAAGGAAGCTAAGAAAGGGAGTTCTCTGAGTTTCTCATTGTTTCATTTTACCGGGTATCGGATACTCTATGGGAATGGTGAACAGATAATGATAATGATGATGAATAAAAGAAGATTCAAAAGAAAAGTGGAATAAAGGCGTAAGTTAGATAAATTTGACCCGCTAATTAAAAACAATGACTCTATTTCCGCGTCGCAATCATCTTCTCTACATCCAACGCAGCATCCCGAACCTGAGGACAGTAATGCTGGCGCAACAACTCTCCCTCCCAGATCGTGCCCGCGAAGACATTAGTCGCCTCGATATCGGTAGCGTACGCATTGAACACACCGTCTCCCTTGCGCTCATCACTGTGCCACAGTGAGGAGATGCGGCGTGCATTATGCTTGGCCACCTGATTCATGAGCGACAGTGTCGCGAGGGCGGACTTCTCGGGCAGCTGGAGCGAGGATGTCATCAGGCGCTTGGAGAAAGAGCCTAGGCGGACGGGAGGGGGCATTCCGTGTGCGCGGGAAATAAGAGTAGATTGCAAGCAGCGAAGGAGCAGAACCATGGGCGTTTGGAAGTTGACCTTCTTCCTGGATCGGTGGGCCGGGTTTGCTTCGGGGGAGTTGGGGTCGGGGAGGCGGAGGGATTTGTCAGGGTTGAATTCGACGTCAGGATTGATGGAGAGGTTGTACAGAGAGCGGTAGAGGTGTTTGACGAAGAAACTCAGGTCCAGGTGGAGTGTGCTGGCGGCTTTGCTGGCGTCTTGTCCTTCCAGGAGGGCAAAGGCTGTGACGGTACAGAGGAGGGCCTCGCGCTGAGCGTCGCGTGTCGTGGCTGGCTCCGCTTCATTGGTTTCGTCTGTCTCCTCCTCTTCTTCCTCCTCCTCGGCTCGATCGGCGTGACCGATCAGGTCCTTGAGTGCTTCCAGCAAGTCACCGAAGAAGTCCTGGTTGATCAGGTGGGCGTACTTGGCCAGACCTTCGAGGACGGGGCCCATGAGCTTGGGGATGCGGAGCTTGAGGATTCGGAAGTAGACGCCGAAGACGAGCTTCAGCGTTTCTGCTTGGTTCTTGTCTCTCTCCTCGTGGGAGACCAGGGCGTCGGCCTCCTTCATGTCCTTCTCGACCGCTTTGCGCTCCTTTTGAACCTTGCGTTCCCGCTTGGTGCGGAACTCGCGCTTCTGCTTGGGCTTCTTGCCGAATTGCGGGGTCTCCTCTTCTTCTTCGCGATCGATTCTGTCTCTTGACGCCTTGCGGGAGAATTCGGACAGCAAACGGAGGTGGAGGAAGGTATCCAGGACGGTCTCGTTGATGCGGAATTCCTTCGCCTTCATCATCTTCGACAGCAGACGGACTGCCTCGAGTGATACGACTCCGTCCTCGTCCCTTATGAAAACCTCCTCCATTGTCTCGCGACATTTGACGAAATCGGCATCGACTTGTTTCCGGGCGAGGCGGTTGACGAGGATCTTTAAGAGCTCACCACGGAAGTTGAAATGCGCCACGGAAAGGAGAAGGTTGCAGGCGCAGTTGATCGCAATGCTCTTGAGGCCAGGGTCCACCTGGGGTCCGTCCTTCTTGGCTGGTTTCGTGAGTTCCACCAGCTTCTGGATGTAATGCTTGTAGTTCGACAGGAGAGATTGTTCGAAGGTCCGTAGCTTGCGCACTTCCTTGGAGATTTTCGCGGACAGGTCTTCGTCGCCGAGGGGTCGAATTCGGTAGCCAGGAATAACGTCCTTGTACACTGCGGCCTGGGCGGCCAAGGCCAGTTTCTTGATCGCAACATGTTCTCCCCTCTCCATGATTTCGGCCATTGTCTTGAAGAGCGGCATGTTCTCTTCCGGATCTTCGTTGATTAACGTAGCAAGTCGCGCAAGTTCCTCCTTGGTCTGGATGATTTGCAGCTTCAATGGGATTTTCGGCTTCTCTTCTTCAACCTCTTCCTCATCTTCATCGGAATCCGCATCCTCCATATCCTCGTCGTCATCGGTACCCAGAAAGCTGTCGGAGTCTTCAGCCTCTGCCTCAGGTTCCGGTTCCGCCACATTTTGTAGACCTTCCGCGGTCTTGATAGGCAGTCTCGTTTGTTCCTTGTCCTTCTTGCCCAATTTGCGCGGGCGCTGCTCATAGTCTTGTTCAAGGTCCCACTCGGCGGCATTGCTGTAGAAGTCGCTGGCAGACGCACCACCGGAGGATTTGGAGCCACGCTCCTCATCTCCAGGAGGGCTCACCCGTCTCCGTTTAGTCGTACGTGCAGGAGCCATTTCGCGGTGCCTGGGGTATATTCTGGGGTGTGGTAGCGGCAAGATGTTTGCGCGGGTTGACTGTCCGAAACTTTTTTTCTGCGGTGCCAAGACCTGGACGCTAAAGGCGGCCGCTCCACCTTGTCTAGAATTTTTGTTCCCGCGGAGCTTCGACTTACAAAGGCTGCATCGCAATCGCGTCTGGAAATTTTCCTGCGCTTTTCTGCTTGTTGATATTCTATTCAGTTTTCGCATTCAGTGCAGTGAACTGAAATAGTCTCCCAAGATGCGTCAACTCACCGAAGGTAGGTGCAACCATCTCCGTCTGTTGTGATTCTTGCGCATGGGTTCTCATATCGTTTCTGCATAGAGGAAACCCGGACTCTGTTCGAGAAGTTGGCCAATTACACTGGAAGGAGTCTTAACAACCTGATCGCTCCTCCTTCTGCCTCCGAAGATGCCAACGACCGCTATGTTTTCCGTCTCCACGGCAGCAGAGTATACTACCTGAGACTTTCCCTGGCGAACCTCGCAACCAGCATCCCTCGCGCCAACCTCCTCACCCTCGGAACCTGCATCGGAAAGTTCACCAAGACCGGAAAGTTCAGAATTCAGCTTACGGCTTTGGATGTCCTCGCTCCCCATGCGCGCTACAAGGTGTGGATCAAGCAGAACGGTGTGATGCCGTTCCTCTATGGCTCCAACGTGGCCAAGGCCCACGTCGGAAGATTCAGCGAGGACTGCCCGGAGAATGCGGGTGTCATTGTTATGGACATGAATGATACGCCATTGGTAAGAGGCCCTTGGCTGGATTGAGGTAACCAAGGCTGATAGACAATAGGGATTCGGTGTGACTGCCCGGTCGAGTGCTGAGACCCGGAGACTGGAGCCCACAGCCAACGTGGTATTCCGTCAGGCAGATATTGGAGAGTACCTGAGAGAGGTAGGTTGACGAAGTGTCATATCCACTGTATCAAATTGCTAACTTTCCCCTAGGAAGATACTCTGTTTACGACCTAAGCCAAAGCCTTGCATACGCGGGATCAAACATGGGAGATTCATACTAGATACCTGGGCATTCTCGCAGGAGTTCTGGAGTCGTCTGTCTGTACATTTAGAAAAGTGTTTCTCAATTCACCTTATCCATCTATTATCTCATGATATTTTCTGTGATTTCGGCTCTGCTGGACATTCGTAGCTTGATAAAAGTAGGCTAAACCATTACAGATATTGCTGGATCCCGTATAATAATGTGTAGCAAGCCAATTCCACCGAATGGCAGGCGTAAGTGGTGGTGTTGGGAAATGTGATGTGAAGCTGGCAGAATATTAGAATATTAGATGCGGGGCACGTGCACGGGCACCTCTCACTCAGCGAGCTCGATTCGGAGATGTGAAGTTTCCCCATCCAGTCATTCCAGCAGCCGATTAACAGCACTTCTGTATATTTCCTCACCTTGCAGCCAGTGAGCTTACAGCCACCGAACTTTCACATCTGTACTCTCTCGTTCGCTTCCTAACGAGCCCCTACACCTCCCTCCATCTGCCAATATCTTCCCCGCAGGCCACTGCCTGCCTCACCCCACCATGCCGCCTTACTCTACTGCTCAGAAGCAATGTATAATGCAATTCGTGAACCTCACCCAAGCCAAGGACGCAGTAGCTGCAAAGGTATACACTGTCTCATTGCTTCTTTTGCCCTTCTTTCGGCAGATGCCATATCGCCCAACCAGCCTTATCTGCGCTCATCACGTGTTCCTCCATGACTGACTTGTCGCATGCATATAGTTCTTGAAAGCATCTCGCTGGAATGTGGAACAAGCTCTTGATGCGTGAGTATATTTTTTTTGTGCTCTATTCTCCTTCTCTTTACACTTGATGGCTATGCTATCGCGTTTCCACTCTTACGGCCGCGGTCCAAGGGACCTGGTCATCTTATACCTCGCTTGGTTATTTCAATACGTTAGGCCTGGCGTCGTCTCATCTGTCTGTATCCCTCGTCCGGCGGGACTGAATCAAGGTACTGTTAGGTGTTGGTGCAGGCTGTCCTGAAACACCTCATTGTTCAACTATGAATACATGCCGTCCGGCGGATACAGCTGAAGACGTAAATCTGACGCTGTCAGATGTCACTCTATCGCATGCGATGTGCAGTAAATCGACTGTCGATTGAGGCTTTGTCATCTCTGAAAGCTTCTTCTCCGGCAGCTTCAGACAAGAGACCTCCACAAGCGTGTAGTATGTCTGTTATCAAATTTCGACACCGATATCGTTCAGCCAGATTTGTCTACACATTACCTGGCATCCGTGCGCTTAGAGAATCTGCCTTGAGGTCTATCTCCCAGTTACCTAGTGGTCAAAAGAATACTGCTCTTGCAGGATGCCTAGCACAAAGCAGAAAGAACGGGACTTCTACATATGAGACCAACCCAGCCTGTGTGTTGAAATCCGAGCATGCATCAGAGTTTCACCCACTTTAGCACTCTCTACATCCTCTGCTTCATACACTCACCAACATATGATTCCAACCACTGATCTCAAACAGTCGCTAATTCCAACCTCACCTCCAGATACTTCCAAAGCTCCTCCGGTGCCGGCGGTAGCACATCCTCACTGAGCAAGATCTTCGACAGTTATCGAGGTTCGTCCACTCCCACCACCTTCCTTATTACAACCCAAACTAACCTCCACCAGATGCCCCAGAAGACAACCCAGACGGGATCGGCATCGAAGGAGCGATGAAATACCTCGGCGACATCAAAGTCGGCCTCGACGAAGTAGCATGTCTAGGAATCGCCGAACTGCTCAAATCCCCCTCAATGGGCGAATTCACCCGCGAAGGCTTCATCAACGGCTGGAGAATAACTGGGTAGATACCTCCCCTCCATATCCACACATACATCCCCAGACAACAAACTAATATACATGGGGGGAAAAATATAGATCCGACACCCTCGACAAAATGATCGCCCACGCCGCAGACATCCGCGCGCGCATCCCCATTCAACCGGACCTCTTCCGGCGGGTGTACCGCTTCACCTTCCCACTCTGTCGCATGCAAGGCCAGCGGAACCTGCAGTTCGAGATCGCGGCGGAGCAATGGCGGCTGTTCTTCACGCCGCAGAATGGTGGGGTGCAGTGGAACACGGAGTCGACTCCGTGGTTGGATTGGTGGATTGAGTTCCTGGAGGAGAGGGGGAAGAGGCCCGTGAATAAGGATCTGTGGGAGCAGGTGGAGGTGTTTATGCGGAAGACGATGGAGGATGAGAACTTTGGGTGGTGGAGTGCGGATGGGGCGTGGCCGGGGGCGTTGGATGATTTTGTGGAGTGGGTGCAGAAGAAGAGGGGGGAGGATATGGAGGTTGAGTAGGTCTCTTGAATTCTATCATTCTTGATGTGGTATTTGACTAGTAGTCTACGACGACGGTTAGGTAGATACATGGGATGGGTTTATGATTATTACTATTACATGGTAAGGGATGGTGTAGGGAATCTTTATATCTTGGTATTTTGTTATCGGTATGAAACTATGGCGACAGTGATAGACAGAAGAGGTATGCAGCATGGTGGTTTGTGTCGCCAAGGAGAATAGAGAATAGAAACGATAAAACATATTCATCATAACAGGGGGCAGGGCAAACATATCTTCATCTCGACGCCAGAGCTCCATCATCAGAGGTATATCCGGGTCAGATTAGGATGTCATGGGGGTTAATGAAATGGATGACAGGGAAAGGGGGAAGTGGACTTTCCGATAAGGTGGCTGGGCTGAGGCAGCCGCTCATCTCGGCAGTCTCGGGGGTTCGGAAGACGTACCCGAGTGAACGGACTGCTCTAACTGACCATTACTGGAAAGTCCACACTGCCCTGTCGGTAGTCATAAGCTAGATACAGTATATTTACATCATCTACCGGTAGTCGCCCTTGTCGTACTCGCTACCGGGTCCCCGGCGTTGATCGTAGCGCTGTCGTGCTAAGGTTAGCGACTGGTCGCGTCGGGATCGTCACGTAGTTGGTTTACCTTGCGGAGAGCCTCAAGACGCTTCTTCTTGGTGTGCGTGTTGACGTAGGTTCCAATGACGAACCCGACAATGTTGAAGAAAGGCACCCAGGTGTGCTCGGGGAGGAACTTCTGGGCAAAGGCCAGAGCGATGGGTGAGGTAACCCAGCTGACCTTCATGACGGGCATGAAACCGGCCCGCACGGTAGCGCGGACCTGGTGGAAGGTGCGCGCGCCCGCGATAACTGCCATGCAGCACAGGTACACGGCGTTTTGGATGGGGGAGACCTGCGTCGCGTCAGCATTCCAGGCGCACGTCAGAAGGGAGTTTCAGATCGAACATACCAACAAGTTGCTGGCGAGGATCTGCAGGATCTTGGCCTTGATGCTCGTCCGGCCAGCGAAGACCCGCTGCAGAATTCCAATGAGGAAGTGGCCCAGCGGGGCGCTGATGAACATTCCGTAGAGGGCCATCTTGGGGACACGGGCGCTGAAGTAGTGACCGTGCTTGCTGACATCATGGGCGATCCACGAGGCCAGGATTTCTTGCAAACTGGACAGGACACCGGAGGTCAACATCTTGGTGCGCAGGGGGTTCGACTGCAGTTGGCGAAGGTAGAGCTGTAATAGACGCGCATTGTCTCAATCAGTGGACTGTAAACACGCATCGGGGGTGTGATTACACAGGCGCAAAACATACAGCGAGATAGCCATCGCCAGTCAACCGGTTTCCAACCTTGTGGACCAATTCCTTTGTATCCTCCCGTATCGAGGTGACGGCCTCGTCCTGGAACTTGGCAGACATTTTTGCTGATCTGGTGGGTGTGGTTGAGGGTGTAGGTGAGGCTGAAGATGAGGGAAGAAAGGAAGATTAAGCGCGCGCGATATGGTCAATTAAGAAGGACGGGAGCCAGAAGACGATAAAGTCACGAAGACGGCAGCTACGGAAATTACGGGACACGGTCAGCCAAGCCAGACAAGGAAGTGGGGTGGGAACCACAATGGAGGGTTGGTGGAGATGGAGAATGAGAGGAAGAGGATTGAAGTGGGTTTTGAATTGGGGAAAGAAGGTAGGACAGACAGACAGAGGTGAGGTGAGATTTGAGATTAGGTGGAAAACATGGGGTTGGCGACGGAAGATGCGCTGTCCCGCATAGAACGGCAGGGAAAAGGAGGAGCCGGGGGGGAGAGGGAGATGAGATTGTTGGCTGATGGATGATTTGTTGATGGGCAGCAACAGCACCCGCCAGCCAAAACAACTAGTAACTTAACGAGGCTAAGGAACGAACGGGAACGAGTCAAGGGAAAAGGAAGGAGGCTGGTTTGTTCGGGTGGATGAGCCAAAGCTTACCGAGGTCGGAAGAGTTCCTGAGCGAGTTGGAAATGAGATGCAGCAACACAGACAATAATATGGGGAAGGTCAACGCGGATAAGAGCAGTTAAGAGACCCAGTCAATAATAATAGTTAATCCACGGATCAATTCAATGGAGGGACCAACACCTGCCCTAAGCTGACAGGAATTCTAGTTCTAACTTCACCAAACACAGCCAGTCAAGTCAATTCGACTAGTGAGTGAGTAGATTGTTAGTTAGTTAGACTATTGCTGTTGGGAATGTGGAGGAGGAAAGCAGTCAATTAAAGGCAATAATAATAATAATTTCACTGTCGGTCACTTCATCGGCAAATGGCGAATGTCGCCGCTTTAATACCCGGGACCTCGGGCTGCCCGCCTTTCGGTCAGCTCCGACATGCGGGCAAGCATCTATCTTAAGGGTTCCCATGTCCACCTTTCCGATGCCTCACTATATCTGCTATATTTCTCTGCATTTTCCAGGCATCTTCTGAATCTGGAATTTATATATAGTATTGATCTCATTATGATCCCTTTTCAGGCTTATCTCAAAAATCCGGTATTTCCTGATGGTCTATACCCTAAGAGGAAAGGCACCAGCCCAAAAGGTGCACGCCGAGTGCAGCCAGGAACAGAAAATAATGGAGCTTATTTTCAATATATCACTCATCTTGGGTATTTTTCTGATTCCATATCTGCTGTGCACAGTTCCTATCCACTAACAATTACACAGCCAGAAAATGTAGCTCATATAATGCTGCTTATATAGAGATGAATGCTTCATCACA